GCACTTTGTGATCATCATTTTCATCCCAGTTCGGACCATGCACATTCACTACATCACACCAATGTCCTTGATTTTACACATTATATAATCCATTGTAACAAACTCTGCCTCCTTATCTACAATAAAGCATGATTCTCATTCCCATTTCCACAGAAAGTGTATAATTGTTTACTGAATCAGTGTCACCATTACACAACCTAACCTCCTGTACTCCCACTAAATTCATTCATTTGTTTTATTTAGCACTCATAATTGCTACAAAGAGTAACACCTGAACAAGTCACATCATTAAATACATCATTCTTGAAATCCTTTTGCTCCTTTTGTCAGGAATAATTAATTACTCTTGACAAGGTTAAACATACAATTAAAACATAACACACACTATCAAAACCAGATAAGTAATCAAATTAGATACAATACATAAATTGAAAATGCCAGCTGATTTAAAAAAAAAGCCTATCATGCTAGTTTTGTTAACCTTATGAGTATATCGAGAGAATTTTAAGGGTATTATGGTAAATCAAAAGTCCTATGTATGGCCATGTCAAACACTGATCACATTAAGATATTACAAGCAACAATTTGTTATCTATTTGAATTGTTGAATAGAGGTTTTGCTATGCTTTCAACAGTCCCTCTAAAAGAAACTCATACAATGTATAGATGGATGATCTAGTAAAAATACTTTTAGCTTACGTTTAAAGTCTTTCTTACATCCATCTGATTTTCTTAATTTCAAAGGCAGTCTGCTATACAATTTATTACCCTTATTGATAACACTTTTCTTAAAAGTGGATGTGTTACAATTTGGCACGTCATCTTTCCTTCAAGTATTATATTCATATAAATCTGAATTTCTCATACAGTATAAATTATATTTCTGAAAATAGGACACTGCCTCAAAAATATACAAGGAGGTAACAGTTAAAACCTTTAATTCCTTAAAAATATGTCTGCATGATGTTCTATTATTTACACCTTTCATTAAATGAATTATCCATTTTGTATTTCCAGCACTCTACTATTTTCGCTTTCTCCATCCCAAAAACGAAACCATAACTTACTAAGGACTGAAATCTGGCAAAGTAAATATTCCTGAGTATATAGAAACTCACTGCATCTTTCAAGGATTTAATAATGTAACATGCCTTATTCAATTTTAGACACAAGGGCTGAATATGTGAGCTCCATTTTAGATTATTTGTTATACTGACACCTAGAAATCTGAACTGTGATGTATAATTAATTTCTATATTTTTGAAAGTAATAACTGGCTCAAACATGTCATATGCAGATCTTGTGTGATGTTTGCTCATTCTTCTGACCTTTAGCATGAACTAGACTGCTATAGCTCCTCTTGTGGTGTTTGTCATACTTTGAGCCCCAAAGTTTTGTTACTGCACTGAGTGGACTGCCTTTGGCAGATTGGTTCTCATGCTATTTATCGATGCTGTGTCATCTGAGAGGGTATGTAGCATGGAATGAGACAGTAAGATCTGATGGAACGGGAATAGGATGGGAACATCATGGCATTAGTGTGGTCTGATATTTGCATGGAATAACTGAAGAAAACCACTCAAAGCTGCAGTCAGCATATATGTTGAAGGAATGGAGATTCAAAGTCTTTTGCCACTGTAGGAGTCTGCTGAGCTAATCACATCTCTCTTTTAACGTGTATTGAAGAGTACATATTAAGTAGCTCCTCAGTGTACTTTTCTCCATCGTGCTTATATTTCTTCCTTCTCGTAACAGTTTAATAATAGAGACAGGATTCTACCTCCAACGAAACACTCCTCCGCATCAACTGAATTTTGGATGATAATTGTCTCTTTTATATGCATTCTAATTTGGCGTACTTGATTAATGGAATGAGTAATGAATGAACGTCTTAATGGAAATTTTAATGCGTATTATAAGTATTTACCTCATTTAATTGCAATATTACTGTATTATTGTATAGATATTATGTGTTTTAATTTGACTTGTTCCATATCCTATGGTGTCTCACCTGTGCTGGATTTACGGAATGTAAATAAATTCAATTCAATTCAATTCAATTCAACAGTGATCTTTCAGCTAATGGTCTTCTGTGAAAGATTCGCTGTCTGTTCTGATACCCAAACTGACCCCATGTATAAACTCCATGCACAAAATGGCCTGTAATCTTATCTTAAAAGTGGTACAGATGTATTAAGTAAACATAAAACAACAGTCTATTCAGAAATTATTATAACGATTACGGTCTTCTGAGTTTCAGTGCAAAGTTTTACATTTCATAAAGTAACAAGAAATAAAGTCAAAGTCTTGTATATTATAATCTATACTTTCTTCGGGGAACAGAATGGAAGACACAAGATTCTGAAAGGAATTAGAGGAAGCATTCCTAAGATTTGATCTGCCCGTAATTCCTTCTTAATACAATTTTTTTTTCTTTTTTAAATATTTATTTAACCGTTCCAGCACCTCTTCAGAGGGTTAATTAGCTACAGTTTTCTTACGATTCTGCCCTGTATTTAAGGACAAGATATAAATATATATTTAGTTGTATGCGTGTTCACTTCCAGATGAATTACTAACAAGAAAAATTGAATATTTATCAGGAAAGTTATTTTCTTGCAGCGTTACACTTCCAATAACATAGTATACGTCACCTATCGTAGAGTGAGAATTTGTGTTTTTGCCTTTCACTGTGAAGGAAGTAAAAAAAAATGTAGAAGTAATTAATTCTGGTGTGTTTTCATGATTGCAAGTGATTATTTCATAAGTACTCACGTTTTTAGATATATTGTACGGGGTGAAACATGCAGCTGGCATGTGGGCCACCCTGTCTCTGTTGAACATAAATACAGAGACCTGGCTCCTCTGTGTTATCTGGTGGGTGCAAGGCTGATGACCTTGCACTGTAATAATTATTGTTGCGAAATTGATGATGTGAATCTGGGTGCACTAATACACCAGACAGATCTCACAGAATGTTGTAAAGAAGTGTGAAATAGGTACCATAATGAGAAGAAAACTAAAACTGTAATTGATGCTAGTAAGGAGGTCTGTGTAAAAGTAAGTATATGTTTATGTCTCATTCGCAGAATATAAGGCAAAATCGTGGGATAAAGATAGCCAAGGGACGCTTTGGAAAAGTGGCACAATTCGTATGTTTGACGAGTGCGGTACACGAATTGACAGCACTATTAGCTACTAGTGTCCCCTTGTGTCCCTATTGGTCGAGTATGGAGGTGGGGGTATGGAGGTTGGAAACCGCGCCACTGGCGGAGAGATTTCGATGCTAATTTGTTTACATTTAGGCAGCCATTTTGTCAGTATGGCGGTGTAGGATGTGTAGGACGTCTGGGACGAAGGTTCGTGAGGATTTCGTTGAAATGTAAGTAGAAATAAGAAGTGTTTTGCAGATATTTATTCCCCTAGTGTGGAGATTATCGGAGAATGTTTAATATTGTTTGTGAATGAACGGTTTTTTTTTAGGTGTATCGACATTGCGTTTGTAACGAAATCGTGAGTTGCAAATGCCTTCTGCCAAATTATGGTTTTATAAAAACATAGTCCCCACGGGGAATGTAATCTCAGCTTTCGAATTAACTGGACCAGTATGAGTTCATTTTTATTGTATGCTGTTCTATTTGAAACTTAAATTCTCACATTGTTGTTTTGTCTGTGTGGGTTTGCTTCTGTATCTTATTCATGCTAACTGTGTAATTAATATAGAGTACAATTTTTGTATTTTATTTTGTAATTATTTTTGTGTTTTTCTTCTGTTCGTGCTAGCTTTGTAATTGGCCTCTGTACTGTTAAGTTTGCATGTAAATGAACATGAATTGAATTGCTTAAAGCAGCCATAAGAGTTTTTAAGAGAAGCATAACAAATGTTGCTTCACATCACAATAAAGCTTAATATATATTGGTAGAGGTAAAATGATTTGCAGATCAGGAGTAGTGAGTTAAGAGAGAGAGCGAGAGAGAGGCAATAATATAAAGTAGGCTAGAATACTTTGAAGTTGTTATTTAAACTTTTACTTGTCAGTGGAAGTATGGATGTATTTCTGAGTTCCCCACCACAGACTATAGCAAAAGATGTACATTAAATTTCTGAAATAGATAATGCTTTAAGAAGAGCTGTTATTCCAGTTATTATTTCTTTGTCCCAAGTTAGGTTCCAATAATTGTGGAAACTAGAAATAGAGCTCATTTCTTAAAACCAATAGCCAGGCATCATGATCATGTATCACCAGTTTAATGTAAATGGGTTATGACCAGCAACTATCCAAGGAATATATTATCACTGGCGTGGTATGGACGTATGGACTGTATTCATGTAGCTGAAGACAGGCACCAGTGGCAGGCTTGTGTGAAATTGTCAGTGAATGTTTTGGTTTCATAAAATGTTTGGAAATTCTGTAATAGTGGAGTGATTGTTAGCTTCTGAAGTAGGGCTTGTGTCCATGGCATGTGTAAGCCTTGGTGTGTGCACGGCTTCTTGCGGGATAACAGAGACGTAAATGAGAAGTTCTCCGTCTGTTATTACTTGACGAACATCCTGTGTGGGCATTCTTATAGAAGAGAAGACGTGTGTGTGTGTGTGTGTGTGTGTGAGAGAGAGAGAGAGAGATGACCCAGTATGATGAACATAACATGGGTTTCACAGTTCACTGATAACCTCCAAAAACCCATAACATATTTACATATCAAAATAAAAATGTGTACTGCCTACAGTGAAGAAATTCCTGTAATCTTGCGGCTGTAATAAGATGATAAGGAAGAGGGAACTGCATGCTCAGTACGTTAGCTCATTCCTCTTAATGTAACAAGGCTTTTTTCTCGTGCTGTTTTGGCTGCAACAGGAAATTTAATGTTGAGATTTCACTTGTTAGAGATAAGAGGGAGAGAAGTCAAATTTTGTAGCCACAGTTGAGTGTAGATCAACAGAGCGGAACACGCTCGAGTGGTGTATTATGTAAATCATCTCAATTGCATGTGGTGTCTAAGATGAGACTGTAGTCCTTGAGTTTATGTTTTGTGTATCTGTTTTTGACATTAGCATGATAGAATGTGTGAATCAGTCACATGTTCTGTTGGATTCAGCTGTATTGTTTCTCCTTAACTTGTTTTTCAGTACACGGTTATGTGTCAGCACAGGAATTGTGTATGTGCTCCAGCCCCTTCACCCTGTTCCATGAGAAGGAAATGGCTGCTGCGTGTCTTTTCTTAGCTTGCAGACTAGTACAGCATCCAAGGGCTGTGGAAGATGTGATAAAGATAGGACACAGGTGCCTCCACCCAGAGCAGCCTTGACTCAACACAGCATCAGAGGTTAGTGAATTTTAGTCACTGGTTTTGTGCTGTTTGGAATGTATTGATGATGATGATGATTATTAATTGAAAAGTTAGGTTTCAAAAGTTGTTTTTTTACCCCTTCTTAATTTTGTTTGTTTATGGTTTGTTTACTAGTAATGTCAGTAGGTCGGGCTATGTAGAGGCAGTTGTGGTCTAGTATGAGGTGCCATGCCAGCATCTGCCTGTGTTTGGAGCTGGAAGTTGTTCCACTCCTGTCTATTTTTTATTTGTAGTTCAGTGACGGTAAATGAGACTAAAACTGCATGAGATGGTAATAACGATTGGAACAGATGTGGATGGAAGCAGTAATGGTATACAAGTAATTTAAGTTAGTGCCTCAACTTTTTCCTGAAGGGAGTGAGGAAAAGCAGAAAGAAGTCCTCAGCCAGCCAGGGTACTAAGAGCCTTGGCCAGAATTGAAATCATGGCTCTTCGGAATACAAGTCAGAAGTGTGACCACTTTAACACACTTAACTTGTGTCCGTAACTGTGAAGGTGTCTACAAATTCAGAGTTTAATTTTTATGTTAGGAGCAATGATGTGATTTGCATGTACTTGCTGTATTGTTCTCCACATCGTTCCATTGTGACTGAACCTGGCCTAGACATTTCTGTCACATGCCAGTAATGTGAGGGCATGGGCAGTACCTTGTGTATCTGCTGCCGTGGTTGCACGTGCTGACTTAGAACACTGGTGAACAGGTGAATTGATGCGCCAAAGGTTCTTTTGTAACATGTCCGCCATTTCAATTATTTGGCGATACATAGATACAGCCTGTCTGTGAAAAGTATGAGAAGTGAAAATCTTACTGAAACTTTCCCTCTCCTTCAGCAGAGACCCATTATATTAATTGTAATCTCGAAACCTGTAAAATGTCTCGGAATCTGTTACTGATATTCGATATTGCCTTACAGATACACCGGGCGCAAGCACAGGAGCTGGTATTCCTTGAGAATGTCTTGCTTTGACATGTCAGTTGACCATCCGCATGCAGACATTGTGCACTGCTTCCATCTGGGTATAGGTAAGCGTCTTGCTGTCACTGCAGAGAGATGAGGTAAGTGGAGGCTGCTCAGGTGCCTCTAAGAAGACTACTCGAAGAGCTGGATTATTCTGTGGTGTTGTGAACATTATCATGTGGAATTATACGCAGAGTATTTTTTGTACCTTATTGGCATGCATAGCCACTATGGTTGTTGTGAAGAGAGAGAGCACACTTTGACTATTTATTCTAATGTGACAGTGAACATCAGCAGAAATACAGATCTACAGATAATAAATAATGGCTATTTCTTATCCTCACTTTTGTGTTGATGTGGTAGTGACGATGATGATGATTGTTATCAGCAGCATCACAGTTGATGTATGTTTCTTCTTTCCTAGGTTGTTTCTGCTCTCTCGTGTTTCCTGTGTGCTTATCTTAACACTCATCAAGGTCTGTATTTCCTCTCTGTCCCTCCTGTAATATCTCTTGTTTTGTGGCTTGTTCTTCTGTGTTGTGCAGAGAGTCAGTTTGACTCCACAATTCTCATCATATATTTATAGGATACCAGAATCAGATATCGAGTATTCTACGATAGGTAAAAGGTAAGTATATGTCCATGTCTTATCAACAAAGGTGCCAAATATATCCTTATACTTATTCCAGGACCCAGAATTTCATAGGAAAATGAAATGAGATCGCACTGAATTTGGAGAAGGCTTGAATCTTTGGTATTCCAACCTCCAGTTTATTAATAACAGACAAAAGATTCACAGACGTGTATATTTAGTTGTCTTTTGTGTGAGTTTCCTGGCCGAAGGAAGTAAAAATACTCACTGTTTCTTTAGCATGAAATTTTTCACTTAGTAATGTAAGATAAAATGTGATATAGTTGATTTAATTTGTAATGCAATTTGATTAATGTTAAATAGTATTTGACTTACATATTTGATTAA